TGGCCGGAGCTGACGTGACGGTCCTTTCCTTTCTTGCCTTCGTAGAATTGAAAGGAAAATCGCGACGATTTCCTTGGAGAGCAAGTCTCCCCCGAAGACCTTGGAGACTGGTGAGTGCCCGCCGTGTCCTGAGCCGGGGGGGCACGTGGCCACATCCCGTCCTGGGGACACGGGGGGCATCCCGTCCTGGGGACACGGGGTGGGGGAGCTGTGCGGCCGGGGGCTTACCAAGACCAAACTGGGCTTCTGGAATGATCTCTGCGTGGCAGGCGGCCCTGACCAGTCGCTCCAGCGTGAGGTGGGGGCAACAAGCCCATGTCCGCGGGCGACCAGGCACGAGGCTCGGGCTGTGCCCCCGTCTTGGCCCGGGCTTTCCTCCAGAGGCCCTTCCCAGACCCCCGCGAGCACCGGGCTCAGCACCCACCTCCGCCTCGCTCCCTGGCAGGGGGTGGCATGGCGGGCCGGAGGCCGACACCCGCCAGCGAGCCTGTCGTCAGCAGCAAGTGGAAGTCCACCTTCTCGCCCATCTCCGACGTCGGCCCGGCCAAGCCCGCGGACGGCCCTCTGCAGGCCCCCACCCTGGGCCAGGCCTCCCTGCTCGCCTTCCGGCCCACCCTGGACGAGCCGGCGGCCGCGGAGGCCAAGCTCGTCGCGCACCCCAGGAAGAGCTTTCCCGGCGCCTTGGCGGGGGCCGACGGGCTCAGCCCCGGCACCAACCCCGCAACGGCTTGGCCTTCGGCGGCGGTCTGGCCGCGGACCTCAGTTTACACAGCTTCAACGATGGTGCTCCCCTCCCCCTCCGGGTCCCCGAGGCCTCGCTCAGCTTCCCCGCCCCGCGGGGCAGGGAGGGCCCCTCGGAAGCCAACCCCTTTCTGAACAAGCGGCAGCTGGACGGCCTGTGCGGCCTGAAGGCCGAGGCGGGCAAGGGCAGGGAGGCGGCCGAGGCGACTTCAGGAGCGGCCGCAACCTCTTCATCTCCGCCGCCGCCGTGCCCTCCGGGGGCCTCCTGGGCGGCCCTGGCCTGGCCACAGCGGCGTCGTCCGCGGGCAGCACGCCGCCCTCCGCACAGACGCACCGGCCTTTCCTGGGTGCCTTTCCGCCTGGACCGCAGTTCTCCCTGGGGCCCGTGTCCCTGCAGGCCAACCTCAGCTCTGTGGCCGGCTCGTCGGTGCTGCAGTCCCTGTTCAGCACCGTGCCGGCCGCCGCGGGCCTGGCGCCCGCCACCTCTGCCACGACCCGACTGACCAAAAAAAGGGCAGCTTCTCCGGGGTGACGGGCGGAGCAGTCGGAGGTGGGCAGCAGCACGTCCCCGCGCAGGGCTGACCTGCCACCCGCCAGGGCTCATCACAAGCTACTTCACAGGTCCCCTCCGGCACCCACTGGGGACAGCCGGCTGTGGCTGCTGGCCCCTGCGGCCCCTGGTGCAGCACCCGGCTCCCTCGGCACCCTGGCAGCTGTGCGGCCGCAGGTGCCAGGCCACGCCAGCCTGCGTCCTCCGGGGCGCAGGGCCCGCTGGCTCTCACTGGCCTTTCCTCTGTCCTTGGAGGTCACCCGTTTCGGAGTGACCGCCCTTGGGCTGGGGCAGGCCCTGGGAGCTGGTACTGGGCCAGAACCAGCCTGGCAGTGCTGGACCAGGAGGGCGCGGCCTTCCGGGCGGGGTGGGCAGGCCCGTGGGACTGCAGAGGGCACGCCCAGGTGAGTGTCCGCCTGCCTGCTGCTCGCCGCTCTGCCCGCACGCCGCCGCTGCGCTGTGCCCGACTGCGCCCCCTGCGCCCGTTGAAGCCGGCTCTCTCTCTCCTGTTTGCAGGTGTCTTTAACCCCGCGGTGCCTCCCGCCTCTGCTCGCCCGTTCGGAGCCAGTGTCGGCAGCGGGGCCG